TTGATTTTCATATTTTAATTCACAAGAAATTTATTCATGCTTACTTAATTTTATCGGTGATTTTATGACATGTGCATAACTTTTTGCTATATCATAATTTATAAAGTGTGACTTGAAAAAAGTTGGAGAAGGGATAAAAATCATATTTTCACTTAGCATTTATCAAATGTTATTATTTATTTTTTACATCACATACCAATGTACATACATACACATTCATTCTCATAATATGATTTTGTGTTATCTTAATGCTTTTAAATTATTATTTTTGTGTTGTTGCACTGTTATTAAAATATTTTCATTTATAAACAATGTAAATAGATATGTACATATATAAGAGAATTGATATCAATCGATTTTACCCTTGATTAATTCTTATACTAAGTGCATGATATGATATAGTAATATTAATATGAATGTGTAATATAGGGTGATTCATTCTATAATTGAGCATATTTTTTAATATATTTTAAAAATGTGTATAGGTAATTTTCAAAATCAATGGAGCACGTTTCACATTTAAAATTTAATAAAGTAATAAACAGTTTTCCCTATAGTAAATCCAAGATTTTAGTTGAAAATCAATAACGAAATATGTATAAACCTAGCCAAGCGCCTAATTTAAGATTTGCGAACAATGCTGCATATATGAATAATATGAACAATACTTAAAAGCAATTTTGCAATGAAACAACGAGTATGCTTCTAATTGGTTTAAATCCCGGTTGGAGATAAGACAACGCATCATTAAAGACTCGTGGTGATTTTAACTCAAACTTCGGTTCTGTATTACGACTTGCTAGTGCCTTCCTTTTTTGTGATATATTGAGAAAATAATTCGATATTTAGGGTTTTAATAGTTTTCAACGCATTCAAAGACCGCATCTTGTCGATTGCATATATTTATTTTTATTTACAATAATATTTAAACATTGTGGCAGCACATTTACTACTTATATAATATTATTATTGAGAAGTAAAATCAATTCTTCTCCCTTTTATATTTAATAATAATTGTTTCAATCAATTGGTACACAATAAAGATTTTCTTATTTTAATCATTTCAATTTCGTATGTGCTTGTATATGTATACAAAATGACATAGGGTTGACAATTAAACGATATTATTCATTATTCATGCACATTGCAAGAGTTTTATGGAATCGTATTATGCATGTCCTATACCCTATATATTTATATATATGTATATATAATACATATATATAAACTCAGTTATATAAAATTATCGTCCTTTACGAGATATATTTGTGTGACTATATGGTTAATGTTTAAATGATTTTAATGAGTTTACTTTTTAAACTTATATGTATACACATAGAGGACCAAGGATATTCTTTAAATGTTTACATTTTGATTTCCTTCATCGTTTTACTTTAGATTTAAAAAAAAAAACACTGAATACATTTAATTGGAAATATTCAGAAGATTATCAGCACGGTTATAGTTGAATAAATTTTATTGCAAATGCCAGGCAAAAAAAACAGAAGAAGAAAAATATTGTGAAAATCATGTTAAATGCTTGTTTGTTTTTTTTTTTGTATTCAACACAATTTATATAATAAAATCATGTTATAGACGAGTGTCAAGGTTTAATATAGCCCAAAAATGATTACATAAATTGCAATGCGAAAATATAGAACTGATCCTTCTCTATTTTAAACAAGAACAATAATATATTATCAATATAAATGTTTTCTTTAACAATTAGATTGATATTGTTTTCTATATATAAAAGGATATTTTCAGGATGTATATTATTACAAATGAAATTTTATTTGAATCGTATAGTAGAGAACAATATGCTATTAAATGTAATATATAAGCAATTTTTAATCTTTAAACACATTTTTATATTTTATATTGTCCTTAGATTGTTTTTCAATGTTAATGTATTATATTGTAAAGATTTACAAATTAAAATATAGTATTGCAAAATGATATTGTCACAGATATAATAAGGATTAATGAGATATGATAAGGATTAATAAATTAGGAAATGTATTTATTTCAGATTTAACAAATGCACACATTATTAAAATGAATAAGTTTTCTTACTTGCAAAGAGATTTATTAAAATTGAAAAAACAGTTTTATTGTTTGCGGCTTGCCATTTGAATTTCAAACATAGAAGCGGATATAAATTGAACTTGATCATTGGTTTTTCATCAAGTTGAACTCAACACCGTAATTTAAACTTTGGATAATAAGGTGTAGTGCCAATACAGTGGATATTCATTTTTCTTTTTTTTAATTAGAAAGCCGAGTTATTCGCTATGATTCTTAACATTGCAATTTTATATTAAAACGTTAAAATAAAGTTTTTATAAATTTTCCATCCCTTTGTAAGGGAGCACTCCAATTAGAACAAAAACCTTTGCTAACAGTGAAGTTATGACCAGTCTTCATAAAAAATTTTATGCACTTCTATTTTTATAGAAGAAACTAAACAACGAATACAATCCAGGACGAATCTCCCATATCACGCTACTATAAGTCAAAATTTTAATATTTTCACAAAGAGATACAGTATTAAAATTATAAAAGTGAAGTTTATATTAGTTTTCCTAAAAGAAAGAAAAAAAAACAAATGGAATTAAGTGATCTAAGATGAAAATGTTATCCTTTCCACATGAATTAATTCAAGTTATTCATTTTGTTATTTTTTTTTTTTTTTTGCTTCTTAAATTATTTTAAGATTATAGGGGAATAATATTATTATTACTTTAGGGATATTTTTTTTTTATTTTAATAATAAGAATTAAAGAAATTTATCCGAGATCCTTTAGATCTTGATGATTTCTCTTTTATTCTCTTCATTCATTCCTTTTTACTTTCTATTATAAAATTAATTTTAAATTAGTTATGAAAAAGTCCTTTAGAACAGAAGCAAACACACAAAAAAAGGAACTAAAAATATTCCTTTTCTTGTATTAAAAAAAATAATTTTCTCTCCTATTTAAAGGGAAAATGCTTATTGAATGAAAATTTATATAAGGATCCTTTGCATAATGGTTAAGGAATTCATGCGTCTAAAAAATAATTATTAATAACAGTAAAGTTATAGAATATTAAAAACGATGTCTATTGTTTTATTTTTGGATTTTTATTGTTTTTTTTTTTAATTTTGAAAGAAGTTTTATTGCATTTTTGAAGAGAAACAATAAATTTTACATTTTTTTTGTTATTACGTTAATAATTTAATTTTGTATGAAAATTAAAAACGAAAAATGAAAATAAAAAATTCAGTTTCGGATAAACAAAGCCAAATTAAAAAGAACAAATAGAATAGAAATTTTTATATTTCTGAGTTAAAAGAGAGAAACAAGACATTATATCTTTGACGGAGATCAGTACTCGTATAGTCGCAATAGCAGCATAGAGTAGGAATATAGATAGTTAACTCTGGTAGTGAAGTAACGTAGAGCACTTCTTCATATTTTATTAGGAAAAAATATTTTATAAAAAAAAAAATTTTTTTTCTTAAAATCAAAATTAAATTGTTTTTAAATTGACTACAAAAATATATTTGAAAATGTGTATAAAATAGCTTTTGTACTTAAAATTCTTAAAAATTTGAAAAGAAACCCATGTATTAAATTTTAAACATAAAAATTTTAAGCATTAAAATGTAAAATGAATAATGTAAATGGATGATTGCGATGAAATGGAAATTAATTTGTGGATAGGGGATTATTTGGGTAGCATTTAACTTTGATCTCTTCTTTTAAATTACCGTTTTCTTCTTTTTTTTTTTCTTTGTTTCTTCCTTGTTTAAATAAAGTTATTAAAATTTTTATGAGAATTTAAGACTTTATCGCAGAAAATACTAAAACGAAATGTTTAAAATTATTTAATAATCTTTTGTAAACATTTCTCATAAGCAGGACTGTTTTATCTAAGTTGTGTTTAGAAAAAAAAATTGAAGCATCTCTTATAGTGCAAATTCGGAAGCTTTATACCATTTTATTACCAAAGAAAATATAGACCTTAAAAAATGTTAAATCTTACAATGTATTAGGGTCTAATACGTATTTTCAATGAGTTGATTGAACTTTAAGCAAATTAAAATTTAATGAAGTATTAACAGAAATTTTTTTTTGGAAAATTTCTTTAAATTTGATATAATTTATTTATTGTATAATAATTTTTATAAAGCTTGCATTACGTTATTATACTTTAAAAGGTTTAAATTTTGAAAAGACAAGTAAATATTTTGTGAAATTGTTGCTGTTAAACTATAATATTTCTCTTTAAAATTTAAAAATAATTGTGAATTTGTAAAATATCAAAAAGCAAATAAATTTTCAGCTTTCAAAATATGGAACTGAATTACAATATCATTGAAATTGTGAAAAAACTTTTGAGTTCAAAACTTTCTTTATACTGGACTTCATGTTTAAATTTGCGGAAACAAGTAAAAATTTTATAATGAAAAGTGTTTATGAAGAGGTTCTCTTGACTTCATTTAATTTTTCATCATTAAAAATAATTTAATAAATTTTTTTTCTATTTTTTTTTTTTAATTTTATTCTCGCATTTTAGGTATTTAAAGATTTTTTAAACATAAAATTCCATTTTTCGTTCTAGATTCAACTACAATATTCTATTTTTGTACATTTTTATTAAAAATAAATTGATCTCAAGGATATTGGAAAACAAAAAAGCAAAACTATATAAAATCAAATTATTTTTTGTTCTTTTCTCACTTAATATAAAATGAAGAATATTAAATGGAAATTAAGTAGGACATCATTGTTATACTGTATATGTGATGGAGTATACACAACGCTATGTTTATTATAGGTATTCGAAAGCTACCGAATAAAATTGGTTTTAATAATAATTTCTTATTAACCCAGATATTTATAGAGCAGAGATTAAATTTATTAAAATGGTATTCACTTTTTGTTTTTTTAATTTTCTGTTTTTAATTGTTATTGGTTTGTTTTCAAATTAAAAATGCTTTTGAGTACAAGATGGCCAATGGATATTTTAATTCAAGACGGTAAAAAAAATTTTGGCATACAATTTAAATAAAGTTGGAGGAAACGGTAATGTGTATAATTAGTGTGCTAACTCATAAAACAAGTTATGCGGCTTTTCAACGGAGCAACAACACAACCCTACAAAAAAATTTAATTTCTACAAGGAGATCTGGAGCAAATTATGCCTTTCTTAATAAATATATTAATATTGAACATACCGGAGTCTTGTACGGTAGCTAGGGTGGTCTTTATTTCCAAGAAGCGAAGGTGCAATACGACGACAAAATCCTTCAGACAAATTGGATTCCATGTTTTTTTTTGAATGCAAGATCACAAAAAATACTTTAATTAAAGATGGTAGCTAACGAATTTTTATTAAATGTCATTTAAATAAATATTTGAGGAAAAATGTTATGACCACCATTGTTTTACAGCGGAACCACAAAATAACTTACGAGGCTCTTCAGCAAAGCAGAGTGTACGCAACAAAATTCTTTAAAAACTAAACTTAGTAAGAGTAGACTATTGAATACCTGAGGAGGCGTCGGCAAAGAATAGTATTTCACTAGTACTAATACAAAGAGAGCTGGAGCAAATTATGCCTTTCTTAATAAAAATAAAAGTTGTGGCAGATGACTAGGGTTGTCTTTATATCCATGGTGGGGAAGGAAGAACATAGTGTCCAATGCTTTCAGACGAATTAATGCTACATCGCTTTTATGAAGGTGATGGAGAAGATAATAGACAAATTTTATCCAAATCTCGTTGCTGGTAAGGAGGTCGCTGAGCGGTTGTCAGGATGCGTATCGGGGAGGAAGAGCAAGGAACAGAAACTGCACTGTTCCGGTTTATCAAACAAAAGCGGGCGGGTGGAGTTTTACAAATCTCTTGTTATAAATCTGTAAATTTACAAGCCTGAACTCAAGCCTGAGGTTAAGAGAATGTTCCCAAATTTTTTATTGGGTAAGTTTTTATGAATTTATGTTTAAATTTTCTTTATATGGGTGAATTTCAAGTTGATATTTTTCATTAATATATCTGTAACTTAGATTTTTTTGCTTTATTATAAAACGATTTATTAATTAAAGTACATTTTAAATTTTAAACGAATCCTAAGTTCAAATTTTTCCCAAAAAAATTTAAACTAAACCCTACATCTTTCCCGGCAATAATACTTTTCCTTCTGAATTTTTCAGTATAAGCAGTTTTTAATTTATATTTAGGTTTTCTTTTGTATTTAATCATTATGTTGAAGTAATGAGAAATCAATAACAAGATCTTAATAATTATAAATTTTTTTTTCTGCATAAATATGGAAACCTCTTCAAAAATTAAGCAGAAGAAGAGAAGAAATTAATTAAATTGTTAATTGAAATCATCATAAATTTGTTTTCTTCTTTTAATGTTCTCTTCCACTTTGTGTGACGAAAAAATAGATGAATTTTTGTTTTTTTTTTCAATTATTTTCTTCCGTTTCCCTATTATTTTCACTCAGTAGACACTTGCAATTGCATCCATATTATAAAAATCATTGATTTTTTAGCATCATATTTTTTTGAATCTCATTTCCAGTACTTAAATTACTTAAAATGAGAAAAACAGATAAAGAAAAGCACAAAAATACACAATAGATAGGAAACAGAGAATTAAAAGCACATTTTCTTTTCATCAAGCTCTTAATGATTCCGGTACTCTATACTCTGTATGTACTCCATTTAAAATATTGTATTGTCATTTCATCGGTACACACATCATCACTTATATATCACTCCATTTTATTTCATATATCATAATTATTCTTTACCTGGTGTACGTAGCTAGGAAAATTTTAAAAGTTTTCATGCCCAATTCCATTTTCAAACGTAACTCATTAATAATATTAAAACAAAGATACGACTAAGTTAAATGCACTTTTATAGAATTGAAGCCAAACAACTATACGAGGTAAATTATGTAGGATTTATAATTAGAAAAGTTATGTATGTATGTACATGGTAAAGAAATCAAATTCGAATTATAATTAATGAGCATGTATGTTTTTGTCAAAAAATCAAATAAACTATATACGCATAATACAATCAACATGACTGTATTTTGATCTATTGCAAGCGTTTCTTAAAAAATTTTCATATAACATTTTGACTTTATTCAGGCAAGAATGTTTATTGAAAATTTAAACACTTATTAAAAGAAAATTAAGAAATTTAGCAAAAAAACAGCCTTTTTGCAATTTTAGGTTGGAAAATACTAAAGGAGGAATTGCGAACTCCAGTCGATGTATTAGAAATATTTGTACATTTTTCTCATTCATTATAAAATGTCCTAATGCATACAATATACGAGTACATACATCAAAGAAATATAATTGAAAATCAATTAGTTTGTCAAAGAAATTTGGAGTAGTTTAGTGGGAACTACCATTTCAAGTGCTTGGAAAATAAGAAGTACTAGATTCTTGCTTTGTTACAAATGGTCGCTTATAATTTTTCTAATCTTACATAAATTGTCGATTACATTCAATTATAATCGATTCATCTACAACCATTCCGAGTCATCTCATCTTCGAACCAATAGCAATTATTGATTTTTGTCACTAGGGTAACCCGTATAATAATTTTTGACAAAGAGTAAAACTATCATACATATTTTCACCAATTTCCTCAAAAAAAAAAATCCAAGGATTGCGGATTGTCTATGTCTGTAGTAGATGGTATCCAAATATTTATAAATTTAAATGAAAATTCCTTTTGGAACTTAAAAAAAAAAAGCAAAAAAATTTAAACTAAAAAAATTTTCAAAAATCCCAACATTCTAATGAAGTTTTAAATTTTTTTTATTTTTTTATTTATTTCTTAAATTTTTGTCCTTAAAAAATAATATCCTTATTAAAGTCAAAATTGTTATTCATTATGATTATGATCTGTGTTGAATTCAATATGCCATAAGCAAAATTGTACAATGAACTCAATATATGTACAATGTTGTTATACATATTAAATGTGTGTGTGTGTCTACTATAATGCGAACTTGTTGGCTGTATTTTATTCATATATAGGTAGATATAGCTGAATATTATGGAAATCCTATACACGTAATTGCAGAGAATGATTTTATGCAATTTCATACGCATTACTTTATAAATTTGTACAAAAGACAATGAATTTTGTTCATTTCTATATTATCATATAGTGAAGAAAGTACGATATAATTCATACAATCATTCAAAAATTTAAAAAAAATTTAGATATAAATCTCAGAACATTACGATTAACGCAGATGCTTGCTGGTTTTGGATGGTTTGGTAGCTTTTGAGTTAATGAGGGAAATCATTTTCGATAATTTTGAATTTCTAAATTTAGCTTGAAATTTGGGAAAAGTTTACTTTAGAAATAAAATATAAATTACTTTAGAATTAGCAGTATATGAATCATCAACCACAGAGTGGATTGGACATTCTTTCGTCCGAATATTCATATATTTCTTACCTTTCGTTGTCCCTCCTTATTAAATTCAATCGGAGGGTTTTAAATTTTCTTCCTCAGAGTTCTTAAGTACGTAATACTAAATTTCACTCCCAAAAACCCTCAATTGTTTTGTAATTTTTCGAAAATTTGCTACCTATCGTTAATATATCCAATCACTAGTTATCCTTTCATTCTTCATCTTGTAATTTTTCAACTAATGTGATGATAAAGATCTCTGCTTACCATGACATTTAAGGACAACCATCCTTGTTATTAAAATTGGTAAAAAGAATGATGTGAAAGTCTTGTATTTAATCCATAATAGTGATTATAATTATATTTATAGTTCTAAATGTATTGAGATATCCAATTATAAAACATTTTTACTCTTAATGCATAATTATAGAAGAATTTTGGTATTAATGGTTTTTATTCCACATCTACATGACATTTATTTCTATCGAAGTTAAAATGAGAATTTTATTGATTTTATATCATTGAATTTCTATACAATAGTTCATTTATAGAATTTAATTGTCATTATTAGAGCATATTTATTAAAATTTAGGAATTGAATTTTTAAAGCAAATAATTGAGAATTTTATTATACGTACAATAAAGTTGGAATTAAGGAATTTTTATATTTGAAATTTTGAATTTTCATTCTTATGAGTTTCTTTTTTTTATAATTTTGTTCCCATTTGATATTTTGAATTTATAATGATGAGCTCAGAATATGTACTTGTATAGATTGATAATATATTGATAATTATGATGTTCAAATATTGTATTTAATGATTATTTTTAAAAACTTTTTAAAAATTTAATATTGTATTTAATTTTTTATATTAATTATCAATAGTATGGAAAAAAATTATTATTGAAAATTTTAACTTTAATTTTTGAATTGTAGCTAACGAAAAATAGCTAACTACCGGGAGTTTTCTGCTCTGTTGTCCTGGTTATAAAACCATATTTCCTATTAGGGCTAACATTTAAAAAGCTCGAATCCAAATCTTGGGTCTAGCAATATTTTATTAAGTTTATATTAAGTTTTTTTTCGGGAAAAATTGATTACATTTTTACTTGCGTCTTGTAAATTTTAATCTTTTTCCAATTATTTTTTATATTTCACAATTTTCCTGTTTTCCGCATAAAATTGCAGGTGCATTAAACTTTTTAAATCAGAAAAAAAGGGTCTTGTAAAAAATAAAGAGAAAAACAATCATTACAAAAATAATTCAATCGTAATTAAAAATATGAACGAAAAAAAATAAAATAATAATCGACGGGCTAAGAAATAATAAAAATCGTTGCTGCTGCACCCACCTATCGTCATCGTCGTCAATTATTGTTAAAAGCAAACAAAAATAATCACGTTTTACAGTTCAAAATATGCCTTTAAGCTTTTTATTTCATACTTTACAGTATTATATATAAATTTATCGTCATCTTGTACACAGTATGGCATGTAATGAAACCCAAAAGCAAAATAATTACAGAATAAAACAAAAATTCTATATACCTTTACATTGTGTAAAACATATTAGACTTAAAATACAAGACAAAAAACACAATTGATTAAATAAAGTGTAATGAATATAAATGGAAAATGTTGAAAGTCATTAAAATAATATGGTAAGAATTCACATAAATTGAAATTATATCAATACGTGGTTACTTCCCTTTAAGCCACTGCAAACTTTATGTTCATAAAAATGCAAATATACAAGTTAAATAATGCACACCAACCCGAAAAACAGTGTTTTCCAATAAAGGCGATAGTGATGCATTTTTTTTAATGAAAAATACAAAAATAAGGAAAATTATTTTTCCTCTCTACTTTTTTTTAATCAATTCAAAAATTTTCCTTAAAAATCTTTCATTTTATAATTGAAAACGCAAGTTAAGTAAGTAAGTAAATATAATATTAACGATTTTGTATCTTGAATCTTGAAATATAGCCGAAGGATAATAAAAACAATAATAAAGATTAACAAAAAAATAAAATTTCAATACAGGGATAATAGAAAATTTAATATTATGATCTACGTATATAACATTAGAGTAAAAGCACAAAAATATAAAAAAAAAAACAATTAAACATCAAAAAGATGAGGAACAAAATGATTTTTTTTTTTCATTTTAATCCCTGACTAGACGCAACGTATTTAACAGTAAAAATGTACAAATAGAAAAGAAAAAAATAGGAAAGTTGTATTAGAGAATTGGAATACAAATGTGTTGGTGAAGCTCTGGCTTTCTCTCTCCACAATTTTGAAGCAATTATTTAAACTCTCATATAGGAAAACAGAAAATTTGTAGGACTAATAAACTGCGAAGTTCTTCAAGAATCCGATTTAAATTAGGATTTCGAATTCATTATAATTTAATAAAATGTTACCCCCCTTCCCCTCCCCACTATTAGAACTAATCCAAATTTCTCAGAAACCGAATAAGTACACTTTCATTAGCATTTGCTAAATCCATAGCCCATTGAAAGAAGTGAGACCAAAGAAGTCTCTGCTTGGAATTTGTCCGTGCTGGAGAACAACATAGTTCATGACTCATCGTTGCCTCTTTCTCTGCGTCATAGCAGTCTCCATTGAGATCTTTTGCCCATTCTACTTGTTTTCTCGATAAACAGATATCATCCGGCGCCGATATCACTTTGATTAGATATCCTTGTGCAAAGCAAGTCTAGGTTTAGTATCGCGCAAGGAATTTGATACCTAAAAATAACAGTAGTCTATGGGCAGTTAGAGGCATGAAAAGTCTAAAGGGTGGTTCCAAGTTAGTCCATTTTACAATTCCTCGTAACTCCTCTGTATCATTGGAAGATTATGTCGTATAATGAATTATACGGCAGTTTACAGTGCATATTTGTAATATTCAATTCCAAGCTAGATAACAACCGTCCTGTGTATTTTAAATTTCATAGCTTCTTCTTAAACTCACACTTGTGTGATGAATGTACCAATATTTAAATGAAAATCGAAAAAAAAATATTATTGAAATGCTTTAGCTATTTCTGGCTATTCTCATTACAAAGTAAAATTAAAAAAAATATTGCTGTTGTTGCACAAAAGGGAAATTTTTATGTATCGATTTTGATAATTTAGTCATAAAAAAATACCACGCATACAACAACAAAAAAAAATAATGCTAATCCTATAAAAAATTACAAAAACAGGAGAAATAAAAACGTTTTATGCATTGTGTTTTCTTTATTTTTTATTGTTTTTTTTTTTGTGTAAATTGTGCGCAATTAAATTGAACAATAGAATTCATAAGGATAACGTCATTATTTTGTTTATCGCGCTATAATAAAAAAAATTTGCATCAATAAAAGAAAGAAAAATTTGTGTATGTGCTAAAAAAAACCGGCTGTTATTCCTTTATTTTACGATACTTTAAAAAAATCTAGAAAAATGAGAGTATAATTTTTTTTTTTTTATTTGGTAAAGAAATAATTTTTAAAATTACAGAATTTTATTGATTTTATAGAAATTACGATTTTATTTTGAGTTCAAATATATTGTTTTTTTATTGTCAATGGAAGATTGACGTATGGAATTCGTAACGTAGTCAAAAAAAAATCCAAATTTGAGCTTCCTTTCTTTTAAAAAAAGAAAAGTGATTTAGGTCAGGTAATCAAGCCATTTGCTATGTTCTCTACCATATTCTTAACGTTTTGCTATTGTTGATTTCACAAATTCTTTTTTCATTCCTTATAGTGCTTGCTGAGTTTCTCTCTCTTATTGGGGAATTCAAGATTAATACAGGGAATTACAAGTGTTGTTTCAGAAAAATTCCAACAAGTAGTAAAATAATTGCGTAGCTAAATTGTGAGCGTAGTGAAATTTATATATAATTCTAATGTTATATTTTTAACTCATCAGTACTACTAGTAGATAGTACTGATATGCCTCTTCGGTACCTGTCTGTGATAAGATTTATAACTGGGCACTGTTTGATTAGCGAACACGCCAGGGGGATGTGACGCCTGGCTAACGATCTTTATACAAAGTGGAGCCTTCATCTTCTGAAGCCGTAAGTTCCTTGGGCTCTATTTCTTTTTGAAAATTGTTGACCTGTTGATTTTAAATGTCAGGTATTTAAATTTTGTTATAAAGGACTCGGGGATGTTCAAGCGAAAGGCGGGATATTGAGATCCAGCGTTACCACAGTGTGACTACCTAGCCTAAATATATCCTTTGATAGCCGCATTAATCTAATCTTTCCTAATTTAGGACTAGATATAAATACGTAGTGAAACCTTTATATAACGAAGTTTTGTGAGTTCGCATTAGTTCAGTTCACTATATAAGGAAATTTCATAATAGAAGGTGCTGTTAAGACCGTGATTTTTAATTCATGTTAAGAAATTCTGCTGTTAAATTAAGTTTTTAAATTTCCAAAATTTTAATTTTCGAAATGTGAATTAAGATTTATGTAAATTGCTAAAATTTGAAAGATTTAAAATCCAATTCTGAACCAAATTGAACACAATATTACTATTTTGTAAAAATAATATTTTATGCAATTCCTTAACAAAAATTTATTTATTTTTTTTTGTATTTTTTTTTTAATGCACTTCATTTAATATAAATTATGCAAAAACTACGGTAAATGCATCATTATTTCATATCAAAAAAACAAAATACATACTATTATAAAATTCAGGGAAATTATTTACATACTTATATATATAGGGTAAATGAATTTTCGGTGATGTACGGTTGTACATAAACTCAAAGTACCTAAAGTGTATAAAATATTCATTTAAAATTACAATAAAAATTGAGAAAAAGATTTTAAAATTAAATTATTTCAAGCTATCAAAATCACTTTATTGTTGGTATAAAAAATACGAACACAAACACAGTTGAATTGTATACAAAATAAATATGGCAATAAAAATAACAAGAAAAAAAAACAAATGAAATTGATGCAATTTAAAAAATTGTGGGAATAAATAAATAAAATTATTGTGAATTGCAAACTGATGTAAAAACAAAGGAGAAAAAAATAGCAAAATCGAAGAGTTTCGTGGTGGGATCAATCAAAAGATTTACTGTTACGATTTAAAGGGATAAAATATCCTGAAATAAGAAAAGGAAAACAAAAAAAATTTTTTTGAAAGAAATAAGGGAGAGGGTGCCAATATACGATTTTAATTTAATTTTTTTTTTTTTGTATTTTTCGAAAAATATATTTTTCCTCGCATTAAAATTTAATGATTTGGAATGATGCTGTTTCCTTTGTTTTTTTTTTAATTTACTTTAATACTTTATTAAAATGATTTTTTTTTAAATTTGGTTATAAAAATTTTTGTTTCTTTTTATTTCAGTAACGCTAATGGACGGTATTGAAAACTAATGTAGCTGACACCAAGAGTGTTCAATTCAATATTGAGATACATAAAAACGAGAATTTTATTCGAAAATGGTGTGAAAGGCTTTAGAGTTACCTATCAAATTGTAAGCAGCACTCCGAATGTTTCGCGTTCAAAAGTGATATAAAAGAGGTTAGTAGTCTACTTGATTTACCTCTACATGATGAGGCGTGTCTCTATGCAGATGATCTTGCAATAATTTTTAAGGCTTGGAGTTACCAAAATATGAAAATATGGAAATCAAGACATCAACAAGATTTTTGATTGGATGTGCCACAGGCTAACAGTAAACATAAGTAAAACAATAAATATGTTGTTCAAAGCCTCAGATGAGTAAAATATATCGATATTACTTAATAGTAACAGGATTGAAAAAGTTAATAACTTGAAATATTTAGGTGTGATGGTATATAAGGATTCAAACTGGTCTCTTAAAATTGAAGAAACAATCGAATAATTGCTGCTATCTTCAAAATAATAAACCATAGGATACCTTTTAAATTCAAAAAATCCCTTTACTATACCATGTTCCATTCCACAACAAAATATTCAATTCTGATATGGGATAACACTGCACATGGAAACATTAACGCTCTACAACGTATTCAAAATAAATTGATAAAAAATCTGTGTAAGTATGATCTTAGAACTGCAACAACATTTATAAATAAACAATGTGATATACTACCTCTTACATTGTAGGTAAAAAAATTCAGGTATATTAAATTCACGATGTGCTTACAAACAACATCAACACTAACTCAAAGCTATGTTATAAAAGAGAAATTCATAATTACAACACAAGAACAGCTTATAATTTTCGAGTTGAATCGACTGCGTTTAGAGAATCGATATATAATGTAGTAAAAAACACATACAAGAGTTTACCTGTCGAATTCAAACCATTTAGTTTGAGAGCTTTTAAAAAGAAAATATAATGAGTGCTTTAATGATATGACATAACTATGTACTTAGTATAATTTACTTTTAAAAAATTTTGTTATTCTTATAAGTTCTTGTTCTCTTTGTTTCTTTAAACTCTAGAAATTTATTATGCAATTCTACGACAAAAGCTCAAAAGTATTCAATTTTAAAAAAATTTCAAAAAATATTCGTCCACCGAAATTTTGATATAATGGTCTTCGAACTCCACAAATTTCATTCATAAATTCAAGAATTTTCATTCTACCTTAAATTTTTCAAACAATTATTTATTTTTCCATATTTAAATTAAAATGTTAAACAAATTTCATTTACTTTATCATATTTTTGTACCAATTTATTTAATATTTTTCTCAAATTTAGAACAAAAACCAAAACAAAAGCAGAAAGTTTACAATAATTTACAAAATTTCTATGAATCCTTTTCATTATAATCCTTTCACTTTCCGAATAACACAGAGAAAAAATCATATTATTTGCATTTTGTATTTGATTTTTTATGTAATCTATCAACAACATTTTTTTTATTTTTTAGTTAGTTTTCTAATACCTCTAGGGTAAAAAATGTAATTTTTTCGTTTTTTATTATTATTATTTCCTTCAGCTCTATTTCCATAAAATAACTATAAAGATAGAAACACAATCACATAATCTTCACAGAGAAAAATTAAAAGAAAAAATAAGTAAAAAATAAAGGATATTCAAGCAAGAAAACAAAAAAATTACGATAACTGAATTTAATGAAATAAAGAATGTGTATTGAAACAAAGAAAAAAGGCAAAAATAAAAATTCTGTGGATAAATTGTAAGGATGTTATAAAAAAGAAAGAGTACAGAAGTCGTGCACAAAACATAAAATATTTTAGAGCTTATAATTTCTTCCTTATTTTATTTTGGTATGCGAGTAACTAGTATTTGTGTTTTGTAGTGTGTATAGCGAGTGGTAAAATTATAAAAAAAAAGGAACAAATAAATAATCAAAAACCTCTATTCTAAGTATTGAATTATTTGAAATGGAGAAAGAAAGAAAAGTTTGAAAAAGAAAAAAAAATTGGAACAGTTGTACTTGCACCATACTGTTATACGTTTGGTATGTTGATTGTTAAAAGAATTGAGAGTATTATCCTGGGAATACTATAAAAAAAAGAAAAATAGGGAAAAATAAAATAACGTTTGCCTTTTTTTTTTGTTTTTTCCTTATTCAACATGATGTTTTGTTACCTTAAGGCAATCGATTCGTTTCAATTTATTATTATGATTATTGTGCACAAACTATAATATGTACAGATATACAATTTTCCAAATCAAAAATAGGAAAAAAAAGGACTCAGTATAATAATAATAATAAAGAAATGCAAGAAAAAAAAATATGTTAAATTCTAAAACGTAAACTGATTCCTATATTCTATTATAATAAAGAATAAGTTTTGAATATTACTATAGGGTATCCCATAGGTGTTATTCCTTTATTTTTGTTTTTATTATTTTTTGTACTCTAGTTGTTATTACATATTATTTCACCTTTTTTTTTGGTTCGTTGTTTCTTGAGAATTCTGTCTAAATTTATTTCTATTGGTGAATAAAAGAATAATTTCATATCACTTCATTTAACAAAATACTTATGGTGTATATAACAAAATACTTATGTGTATAATATTTATGTATTCAATTTTCAATAAAAATATTTCAATGCAAATATTGATGTGTGTGGAGATGTTCGGAAAGCTAGGGTAATACAATTTTCAATTATACAAGATCAAATTTCATTTAAATTAAACTTTATTATTAAGTTTTCACAAAAAAAAAATTTACTTATCTTTCGATTTTGCTATTGCAACCAGTTTATGCGAATACAGATTAGAATTTAATAATTTTATCGAAAACCAAAATAAAAGGAATAGAATGACACAGCTACCGCATCTTTTTAAAAAAAATACTAGTGAAATAAGCTTAAATTGTGTTTAATTAAATTAATATAACTGTTTGTACCTACATCTATTTTTTGTTGATTTCAACGAATTAAATTAAAATTATTTTCAAAAACTCAAGAATCTTCAAGATCAAATTTATTCATGTTTTCATTTCGAAATAAAATAAAAATGTTATACTTAACATACTAGTCGTTTTAAAATCTATTTAAGGATCATGTTCGACGAACATTAATTTTTGTATGAAACATATATCGAACATGTTCGGTTGCACTAAATTTTTCAATTTAATTCAATTTAGTTATGCTTGTCTGGCAACATGTTTTCTTCCTAGACAATTACTTTTTCTCACTTCTAGAATACGAAATTTTGGGACAATTTTCTATATGAACAAGTTTAATAAAAGTCTATCAATTATTTTATTATGAATGAAAGTAAAAGAACACTTGTTATAGAAAAATGAAAGTATAATATGTAAGTAAAGAATTGAAAAATCCTAAAGTTCATGTACCCTTTCAAAAAATTATGCCACAACACCGGTGCTTTTATTTTGTATTATTTTTTCGTTTTTCAATTTTTATATTATGTGGAATAAAAATAAAAGGGATAACAAGGATATTTTTTATATATTATATAATACTTTATATTCCTATTATATATTTTAAAAATAGAATGAGAATAAAGGAACGTTTAAGAATGTGTAAGCGCTATGACTATGTATAAGCAAAAATATGCATAAATACAAGTATGTATAATGTACCTACATAAATTTTCTAGGTTATGGCATTATTATAATAATAAAGTTGTATTGATATCCTTTCTATTTTATAGAAAAATTGTATATTTTATTTCGTTCCTTTCTTCTTTTCCTTACTTATGGTGGTTCGTTTATTTTTCGTTAGATTATTTTTACAATTTGATATCATATTTATTCCTATTTTATTCCTTGTGTTTGAAATTATTAAATAAATAATATGCACATAATCTCATAAACAGAGATTGTTATACATATGTATAAGCATTTTAGATAATAGTAAATAATATGCTTTCTTTATCTTCATATATGCTTTCTATATGCTTCAATATCGCATTTGTTGAATATTATTTTACATTTGATGCTATGCACTCAAAAGTGCATTTTAATATTCACTTAATATTTTAAAACAATAAAGGTATTAATAATAAATTTTAAATTTTATTAAAATTTTGTATGGTGGGTCAGTTGGGTGACGTGGTCGTTGGAGCACAATTAGGAAAAATGTGTTGTTTTGCTACAAATACAGTCGTCAACAGGCCGGCATTGATAGGAATTAAATAGGGAGGAATATAAAACAGTATGCTTAAATAAATCACCGTCTCTAAAGAAAAAGACCATCTACACTGTGTAAATATTATGTAGAATTCATAATTATTGTAGTTTCCTTGTTATTCTACTCTAAAACGACAAAATTTAAAATTTTTTTCCAAACTACAACTTCAATTTAAGTCATATTAATTTTGTTAATTAATGTATTAAAATTCTCTAAAAAAGTTAATAAGAATTTTAATTTTTTTAATAATTCCAGCAATTTTAACTTGTACTTTCAAATAATTTAAACCAATACCCACATACTTTAAAATATTAGCTAAAATCAAAAATATTTTTGTAAATTTTAAATTAAAATTTTGAAATTTTTAATAAAAATTTAAACTATAGGAAAAATCAAAAAGTATACACACATATGGTGCTTCCGTATACCTATCCAAACAAATCATTAAAATAATAAATATCAAAAATAAATTTAAATTTATTATAAATAATTATTATACAAAAAATGTATGTAGGTACTAATAGAATACAAAATTCAAAATTATTTTTTATACTTGAAATCTACATTCATACAAAATATATTTTTTTAAAAGTTATTCTTATTAATTTAGTATTTCGTTTTGTACTGCTCTGTAGAAATTATTTATAATATTTTTTACTATTATTGTAACTCTACAATTTCTTATCAAAATATTTTGAATGAAGTTGTTTTTGGAAGTCTTAAACTAAGAAGTTTAAGAGATTATTTATAGTAGTAATGATTTATAGGAAATAAATAGAACAAAATATGGGTCAAACTCCATAGATATGGGTAGTATGAATTTGTTATAAGTCATTTTGAAATGGATTAACTTTAATTGTTAACAAGATTTAAGAACATATAATTGACATAGTAATATTTAAATTATGTCAAAAATATCAAATATTTGACGATCATATTAATCATGTCATTGGCTTGATTTTTTAAATGACAATCATCTGAAATAGCAGCTTTTGCAATTAACATTTCAAGCAATATTTCAATAAATGGCGAAATTTAAAATTTCGAGATTAAAATGTTTTCTTTGTAATTCATTTTGTCAGACATAAAAATCGCTTATGCATCCATCCGTCTACAGAAATGGCAAAAGAAAA